GATGAAGGGTCTAGGCCCGAAACGTCAGCCTTCCTGCTCCTATGATGCTGCTTGGCCTGCTGTGTTCATCCAGCTCTACACCTTGTTATCCTGGGTTAGTATATAACTAGGTAGACATCAGCAATAAAAGATGTATTGCTGCTTTCAGAGAAATGTTCTATTCAGTGTTTTGTGGACAGCTTTGTTCCTTTCATACAAGTATGACTGTCATTTTTTTAGGGATTTTATAAGGTTTTTGCATCACTTCTATTTATATTACAATGGAAATTCACTCCCTACATCTTTAGATCACAGTTTTTGTATCATTATTAAAATGTATCCTTATTTTCAATTAGAGACAAGATTGCAACTGGTTCCTTTGATAAAGCCTGCAAGTTATGGAGCTCTGAAACAGGCAAATGTTACCATACATTTCGTGGACACACAGCAGAAATTGTAAGTTTCTCTTTTCTTATGTTTAAAGAGGGCATCTTGGTTTTATTGCCCTTTCAATAATCAAACTTCTAAAAATAATTATATTTTAAGATTTTGTTGTAGTTGTTTGACTCATATATTTCTAATTTATTTTCAAGACAATTGCTGGTGACATCTTCGGGCTTAAGGGTTACATATGGTGGAACTGAATCAGATCCACTTACTTGTGTTTATTTATATGAGGTAGATACAGTAACAACCAAGTCAATTAGACCAAGATTATAACTTCAACAGTAGAGCTTCCTGTTAGTCTACTTTTTCAAACTGAGCCTGCATTGTGATCTCATGGGATCTATGATGTCCTTAGATTTTTGTCCATTTGTTACACCATCTGCAGAGTTTGGAAATATAAACGTTCTTAATTGTTTGTGTAGCATTGTTGATCCATTCTCACATTATTTATTTTGCTATATATACATTTTCTGTTCAGTAATAGCATTATTTTCCTTTGGGAACCTGAGCAACCCAAGTTTGTTTATGTAAGTTAATTCAGCTTAATAACACCCCTAACAATAATATTAACACTTCTAAAGATGCCAAAAAAAATTAATAGTGAAAAGCTATATCAGACCCAGTATAGATTGCCATATCCTATCAGCAGCCTACTTTCCTTTCATTCCTACTTAGTTTCCTATTCAGCAACAAAACAGAAGTTGCTGGTAAAGCTCAGCAGGCCTGGCAACATCTGTGAAGAAAAAAATCAGAGTTAACGTTTCGGGTCTCAGAACTGATGGTAGCTGGGAAAATGTCAGTTTAAATGCAGAAAATATGCAGGGGGATGGGGTGAGGAGTAAACAATAAGATAAAGGATTGAGCCTGAAGAGAGAGAAGAGCAGTTAGGTGGACAAAGGAGTTGATAACAATTTGGCTAGGAGGGTGAATTGCTGTTAATGGTGACTGTTAGTGACTAACAATAGGTAATGTGTAATGGCAGGCTGTGTAATATCAAGGCCTGGTGTGTAGGGGTCTAGAACACGGGAGAGTTTACGCCCTAAAATTACTGAACTCGATATTGAGTCCAGAGGCCTGCAGGTTCCCAAAGTGGAAAATGAGGTGTTCTTTCAGCTTGCGTTGAGCTTTGCTGGAACACTACAGCAAGCCTGAGACAGAGATGTTGGCCAGGGAACGGGGTGGTGTGTTAAAGTGGCAGGCAAATGGAAGCTCAGGGTCTTTTTTGCGAGCAGAACGTAGATGATCTGCGAAGCGGTCACCTAGTCTATGCTTCATTTCCCCAATGTAGAGAAGACCACATTGTGAGCAGTGAATGCAGTAGACTAGATTCTGGGAATTTCAGGTGAAGTATTGCTTCACATGGAAGGTATGTTTGGACCCTTGGATAGTGGGGAGGGAGGATGTAAATGGACAGGTGTTGCACCTTCACCGGTTGCAGGGGAAGGTGCCCTGGGGCTGTGGGGCATGTTGAGGGTGAAGGAAGAGCGGACCGGTTGGCCCGGAGGGATCGGTCCTTGCAAAAGGCAGACTCAGGCAGGGAGGGGAATATGTATCCAGTGGTGGCATCTTGAGGGAGGTGGTGGAAATGGTGTTTGATGATCTTCTGGATGTGGATGCTGGTGGGATAGTAGGTAAGGACAAGGGGAACCCTATCACTGTTGTTGGAGGGAAGATATCAGGTGAGGGCAGAAATGCGGGAGATGGGTCAGACCCGGTTGAGAGCCCTGTCTACAACGAAGCTGGGGAATCCTCGGTTGAGGAAGAAGGTGGACATTTCGGAGGCTCCCTTGTCGAAGTTGGTCTCATCTGAACATATGTAATGGAGACGAAGGAACTGAGAGAATGGGATGGAGTCTTTACAGGAAGCAGATTGTGAGAATATATTGCCCAGGTAGCCATGGGAGCTAGTGGGTTTGTAGTGGATATGAGTGGCCAGTCTATCCCCAGAAATGGAAACAGACATGCCGATGAAGGGAAGGGAGGAATCAGAGATATACCAGGTGAAAGTGAGGGCAGGGTGGAAATTGGTAGCGAAATTGATGAAATTTTCCAATTCCAGATGAGAGAGGGAAGTAGCACAGATGAATATCATAGATATATCAGAGAAAGAGTTGTGGGTGGGGGCCAGAATAGGACTGGAACAAGGAATGTCCCACATACCCCACAAAGAAACAGGCATAACTGGGGCCCATATGGGTACCCGTGGCCACCCCTCTGACCTGAAGAAAATGAGAGGAGTTAAAGGAGATAACAAGGTGTAGAGCTGGATGAACACAGCAGGCCAAGCAGCATCAGAGGAGCAGGAAGGCTGACGTTTTGGGCCTAGACCCTTCTTCAGAAAGAGAATTTGTTGAGAGTGATGACAAACTCAGCCAAGCGGAGGAGGGTGGTGGTGGGTGCGGATGGTTCAGGTCTTTGTTCCAGGAAGAAGCAGAGAGCCCTGAGACCATCCTGGTGGGGAATGGATGTTTTCACTTGTCAGAGTCACAGAGTCATAGAGATGCACAGCATGGAAACAGAACCTTTGGTCCAACTTGTCCATGTGGAACAGATATCCCACATAAATCTCGTCCCATTTGCCAGCATCACTCCAAACCCTTCCTATTCATGTACCCATCTAGATGCCTTTTAAATGATGTAATTGTACCAGCCTCCACCACTTCCTCTGGCAGCTTATTCCATACATGTGCCATCCTCTGCATGAAAAAATTGTCCCTTAGGTCCCTTTTAAATCTTTCCTCTCTCACCTTAAACCTATGCCCTCTAGTTTTGGACTCCCCAGACCAGGAAAAAGACCTTGTTTATTTACCCTATCCATGCCCCTCATGATTTTATAAACCACTATAAGGTTACCCCTCAGCCTTCAAAGCTACAGGGAAAATAACCCCAGCCTATTCAGGCTCTCCCTAGAGCTCAAACCCTCCAACCCTGGCAACCTCCTTGTAAATCTTTTCTGAACCCTTTAAAGTTTCACAACATCCTACCAATATTTGGGTGACCAGAATTGCGCACAGTATTCCAAAAGTGCTCTAACCAATGTCCTGTACAGCCTCAATATGACATCCCAACTCCAAACTCAAAGCACTGTCCAATAAAAGCAAGCAACCTATGAGTGTAAAGGGATTGCATGTCCATGGTAAAGAGCAGGCGTTTGGAGCTTGCAAACTGGAATTTTTGAAATTGGCCTAAAGCGTCAGAGGAATCACGGATGTACGTGGGCAGGGATTGAACCAGGGGAGAGAAGACTGAGTCAAGGTAGGAAGAGATGTGCTCTGTTGGGTAGGAGCAGACTGAAACAATGGGTCTGCCCGGACAGTCCTGTTTGTGTTTTTTTGGAAGGGGGTAGAAGCGAGCTGTGCGGGGCTAAGGGACTATTAGCTTGGAGGCAGTGGGGTGAGGTCACGAGATGAAGTGAGATCAGTTACCGTAGTAGATACAATAGCCGAATGCATCATGGTGTGGTCATGGTCCAGGGGAGATAGGAGGAGAGCTGGCGCTGAACCTCTGCAATGTAGAGGTCAGTATGCCAGACTACAACAGCACCACCCTTATTGGCAGGCTTAATAACAAAGTCAGGGCTAGATCTAAGCACATGGAGGGCAGTCAGTTCGAAGGGAGAGAAGTTGGATTTGGTGAGGGGGAGCAGCAAAATTGAGGCGACCAATATCATGTCGACAGTTCTCAATGAATAGATTGAGTGCAAGTAAAAGGCCAGAGGGCGGTGTCTAGGTGGAGGGAGAGTGTTGGAACTGGGCGAGGGGGTCTGTGGGATGGGGAGGGGAATCTTGTCCAAAGAAGTGGGCACGGAGGCGAGGACTGTGGAAGAAGAGTTCGACCTCATGCCGTGCCGAAATTTGTTAAGGTGGGGTTGCAGAGGATTAAAGCTGAGGCCTTTGCTGAGTGCAGAACGTTCAGCATCGGAGAGTGGAAGGTTCGGAGGGATGGTGAATATCCAACAGGAGTTGGGGTTGTGGGAGGGGATGGAGTCAGAGGGAAGGGGAGGGAAGGAAGGTTCCAGAGGGCCATTGGTATCCCTGAGTTGTTGCATTAGTCACTAACAGTCCCCATTAACAGCTATTCACCCTGCTAGCCGCTTGTTATCAACTCCTTTGTCTTTCCAACTGCTCTTCTCTCTCTTCGGGCTCTATCCTTTATCCTATCATTTACTCCCTACCCCATCCCCCTCCTTATTTTCTGCATACAAACCAATGTTTTCCCAGCTACCATTGTTTCTGAGGAAGGGTCACCGGATTCGAAACGTTAACTCTGATGTTTTCTTCACAGATGGTGCCAGACCTGCTGAGCTTTGCCAGCAACTTCTGTTTTTGTTCCTGATTTACAGCATCTACAGTTCTTTCAGTTTTTAATTTCCTATTCAGTAACCCATGTAATAAAATTATGTCCAATTCAGTGTGCTTATTGTCTTCTGTGAGGGATCCTGTCAAGTTCCTCTGTAGGTCCATATTGTCAATATTCCAAGACCCTCCTGAACCACTATATTAATGACCTCCCTGAAAAGGTTTACTTAGTCAAACAGATTACACCCTTTATGGATCAATATCGTCCCTTTTTGTCCAAGTGTCCAATACTTGTCCAAGTGTTCAGTTACTTTGTCCTTAGTGATAAAAGAGACTTCACCATCTCGACATCAAGCTTATAGACCTGTAGTTACCTGGTTCCTACCTCCCTCCTTCCGAAGGAATGAATTAGCATTTCTAATTTTCTAATCCAAAGGGGTAATTGCTGAATCTGGTGAGTTTTGGAAAATCACGCTAACACATCTGCAATTTCCTCTGTTTTGAATACCTTGAAGTTGAAAACTGGAGACCTATCTGTCTTATATCTCATTACTTTCTGCATTACCATGTTTTAATCTTGTATTGAATCCACCAAATTCTTTGTTTATGTTTTTTCAGGTTCCCTTGTGGTTGTAGTGCTTTGTCCTTTTCCTAAATTGTGAAAACCAATGCAATGTATTCATTTTAACATGTCAGCCATTTCATTAGATACACAAACACAGTTATGAACATGGATAATCAGAGGATTACAACTGCCTTTGGAGATAATATGAGTATGAAAGGCCACTTATATTATTTCCAAAGGCAGTAGTAATCCTCTGAGTATGAAAGGTCACTTTAAGGATAGAAGAATGTTACCAGGCTGGACTTTAGTTCTTTTCAGTAATTATACCAAATAATGCAATTGAAGAACCCTTATAATCCATAAAAATATACCTTGGGTTCTAGAGCTCAGACTTAATAACTAACTGCACTTATACATTTATATAATTTCCATTCTACTCAAACCAGAAAAGAAAAATCATGTTAATCCTGAATCTTCCGATGACAATATTTATAACTTAAAAGGCATATAAGTTTTATAAACCAGGCAGCATATTGATTTACTAATTTGATTTTGTGTGCAAATATATGGATCTTGCATCCATTGCATAGAATGGGAGACTTTATTGTGCCACTTTTGGCTTTCGTTTGAATTCTGATAATAATGGAATTTCATGTTATTGCGAGAGTGGACCAGGGAATGCATGAAGAAAATTGGAAGAAGGTAGATTAATTATTGGGGAACTGTTACATAACCTAAGATACCCTAAACCTACATCTCTTTAAATTAGTAACTTGTACTGTTCTGTAGTTTAGTTCATTGCAGCATCCCCTTTAGTATCTTTAGCATTTATGCTCCAATCAATACTGTGCTTTTTTTGGTGTTTTGTAACACCGTAAGAATAATGATTTTAAACAAATTAATACTTGCAAAAAAAGAACATTCAGTGGTTTAGCTGAGAAGTTCAGATGATGTTTAAAAATCCGTGGTTCTGATTTTTGTGAGTTGTGATGTTCTATTATTTCTGTGATTGGATACGGTTTTATGTAAGCCTTATTAATTATACCAAGAGTGCTGTCAGAAACAACCATGGCAGTTGGTGCCATTTGCAAAAGGCCTCATATAAATCAGTGTGATTTTTAATTGTTCTATGAAACTGTTGAACATTTTTCTTTTTAGAGATTCATATTTTTAATTTTTTTTTCAAAAAATCTATTACAGGTATGTTTATCATTTAATCCTCAAAGTACCCTAGTAGCAACAGGCAGTATGGATACGACAGCAAAGCTCTGGGACATCCAGTCTGGAGAAGAGTCTGTTACACTAACAGTACGTATAAAGAAAAATGCTACAAATTCTTCTTTTTAATTTTATTCATTCGTTCACAGGACGTAAGTATCATTGGTTTGTGTAGTGGCAGGGGAATGTGGTGATGGGTAGTTGAATTCACTGTTGTACTGGTGTTTCCAGTGTCTTGGTTGATACTGGGTGACCTGTCTAGTACAAAGAACAAAGAACAAAGTAGTAGTGCGCTTGGCAATTTCAGAGGATATTTAAGAGTCAGTCCTACTATTATAGATCTGGAGTCGTATGATAGCCAGACCAGGTGTTTTGATGGTGGATTTTCCTTCCTGAAAGGATGTTCATAAACCAGATTTTTTTAGGCCAATCAATACTGTTTTTAGATTAGCTTGTAATTCACATTTCACCATCTGCCATGCTGTGACTCAAGCCATTGTCACCAGAGCATTAGCCCAGGTGTTCAGTGATAATACCACTACACTACTACCTCCCCGTTTAAACATATGGTAGTAATTTTGATTGTAGACGAACAATGGTTTACTTTTTAATATTGTCCCTTCAGCCCTTTGTCCATTCAAATCATTCTCTAGGGAGCATGATTTGCTAATATTCATTTGCCAAATTGTCATCTGCTGTGTCACAGGTTATTGTAAATTAAGACATCAGCAAGAGGTTTGACAAGATTCCATATGGTGGACCGATTAGCAAGGTTAGATCACATGGAATCCAGGGAGGTCTAACTATTTGGTTACACAATTAGCTTGAAGATAGGAAGACAGAGTGTGGTGGTGGAGAGTTGTTTTTTGGACTGGAGGCCTGTGACCAGCAGTGGGCTGCAAGGATTGGTGCTAGTTCCACTGCTTTTGTCATTTATATAAATGATTTGGATGTGAATATAGGAGGAATAGTTGGTAAGTTTGTAGATAACACCAAAATTGGTGGTATAGTGGACAATGAAGAAGGTTATCTCAGAGTACAATAGGACCTTGATTGGATGGGTTGATGGGCCAAGGAGTGGTAGATGGAGTTTAATTTAGATAAGTATGAGGTGCTGCATTTTGAAAAGGCACATCTGGGCATTATACACTTAATGGTAAGGCCCTGCGGAGTGTTGCCGAGCAAAGAGACCTTGGGGTGCAGGTTTGTAGTTCCTTGAAGATGCAGTCGCAGGTAGACAGGGTAGTGAAGAATGCTTTTGGTACACTTGCCTTTATTGGTCAGTGCATTGACTATAGAAGCTGGGATGTCATGTTGCAGCTGTACAGGACATTGCAACGACAGAAACTTGGCTGAGTGATGGACAAGATGTTGCCAGAAATAGAGGGTTGAGTTTTAAGGACAGTAGGAGGGTGACTTTACAGAGGTCTGTATCATTATGAGGGTATAGATAAGGTGAATGGCAGGTGTCTTTTCCCCAGGCTGGTGGATTTCAAGACTAGGGAACATATTTTTAAAGTGAGAACAGAGAGATTTTAACAAGACATGAGGAGCATTTTTTTTACACAGAGTGGTTTGTGTGTGGAATGAACTTCCACACACAAGCGGAGGAAGCGGTGGATGCAGGTACAGTTACAACATTTAAAACACATTTAATAAATATGTGAGTTGGAAATGTTTGGAAGGATATGGGCTAAACACAGGCAGGTGGGACTAGTTTAGTTTGGGATTATGGTCGGCCTGGACTAGAACATAGAACAGTACAGCACAGTACAGGCCCTTCGACCCACAATGTTGTGCCGACCTATTATCCTACTCTAAGATCAAACTACCCTGCATACCCTACATTTTACTATCATCCATGTGCCTATCCAAGAGTCGTTTAAATGTCCCTAATGTATCTGACTGCACTACCACCGCTGGCAGTGCATTCCACGCACCCACCACTCTCTGTGTAAAGACTAGTTGGACCGAAGGATCTGTTTCCATGCTGTATGACTCTATGAATGTCTGACATAAGGTCACGTTTGGAATACTGCGTTCAGTTATGGTTGCCTTTCTAAAGGAAGGATGTTGTTAAACTTGAAAGGGTGCAGAAAAGACTTACAAGGATGTTGCTGGGGTTTGAGGGTTTGAGCTATAGAGAGAGGCTGAATAGATAAGGATTATTTTCCCTGGAGCCTCAGAGGCTGAGGGGTGACCTTATAGACGTTTATAAAATCATGAGGGGCACGGATAGAGTGAATAGTCAAGGTCTTTTTCCCAGTGTAGGGGAGTCCAAAACTAGAAGGCTTAGGTTTAAGGTGAGGGGGGTAAGATTTAAAAGGGACCCAAGGGGCAGAGTTTTCTTGCAGCAGGTGGTGCGTATATAGAATGAGCTGCCAGATGAAGTGGTGGAGGATTTTGCAATAACAACATTTAAAAGACATTTGGATGGGTACATGAATAGAAAGTGTTTAGAGAGTTTATGGACCAAATGCTGGCAACTGGGACTGGGTCAGATTGGGATTTCAGGTCAGTGCAGATGAGTTGGATTGAATGACCAAAACAGCACTGGTTCTTTGCTGTACAACTCTGTGACTCTAAGACCTTTCCATGGATTGCCACTTTGCTATGGTGGAGAGCTTGAGTGTTCCATTGATTCTGAAGCAGTTCTCAAGTCCTGGTAGGGCCATCCACGATGGTAAGGTTGGGGTGTAGGAACCAGACAAAGCACAATCCAAAACGAGTCCTCAACGGTGATCCAGGTGGAAGATACTCGTAGATATCAATGGCTGCAATGGAGGATGAAGGCTACAGCTGTTGGAAGATCCCCAGTCCTTGAGGTTTCCTTGCCACTGGAAGTGGATCTACCTTCTGTCTAGGACCGTGTGTCTGCCTATGTTCAACAGCATTCCCATGTTAAAAGATGTCCTGCACAAGGTATCTGCCTAGATGACCAGTGACATGGAATTTCTTTGGTGGACAATCATACACTTGAGCGAGTGATTGGCAATGATGGTGTAAATCAAGTTCTGAATGACTGATGAAGAATCTGCATGAACCAGTGTGGGTCGACAAATTTAAGGCCTTTATACTTTTGAGAGTAATCATTGTTTTTATCAACTTTAGTCTTTTGTTGGATATTGGTCAAATTTAAATTAATCTGATTTGTGTTGCTAAGTTTATTTTCATTGACGTCCAATAACGTGGTTCCCACTGGTTCACAACCAAATAAGTGTACTCCGGCCGTTTTTCTCTTTGATTATAAATTCTTACCATGTAAGAATCTTTGTGTGTGATGGGAACAATTGTTCTGAGTTGCTACTGGCACGATAGAGGTGATACAAAATCAACACATAAAGTGTGCGTTATTTCACCTTACCCTTATTGATGTCTTGACTTTGCTGTGCAAAAGAGTCATAATCCAAATTAGAGTTAATGGATAATTTTGGCACTACTCAATATAATTTAACTAGATCCAACCCTTGGTTTGTTGGTAGCTTTCTCACCTCTGAGTGAAAATATTGAAATTTCAAGTCCCACTGTAATGATTTAACAAATAGTCTAGATTGACACACACTCCTGAGAAACTGCTGCACTACTGTGTCAGGTTATGGTTTGCAGTCAGTTATTTCCTGATTTTTAAGTGGTTCACATCACCCCCAGATCCCTAGCTCTGGATGCTGGACTTATTTAGGGAATGTGAAATGTAGAGGCAGTAGACAGGCGTTTCAGGGCAAAATAATCTCTCCATTCGTTTGAAATACAAAAGATAATTTTAATGCAAGAAAATAGGTAATGTAATGAAACAAGTAAATTGACACAATCAATACACAGTAGAACATTAGAACTTTAAATATAACTAGTAACTAGATAACCACTATAAGAACACTATCTTACTGACACACAGGAAAGAACAGAGTTTAATTTCAGAGATAGTAGGAACTGCAGATGTTGGAGAATCTGAGATAACAAGGTGTAGAGCTGGATGAACACAGCAGGCCAAGCAGCATCAGAGGAGCAGGAAGGCTGATGTTTCGGGCCTAGACCCTTCTTCAGAAATCCTTTTTTTTAGGTGTTGGGGACTGGGGAATTGGAAGTTCTGGAGGAGGTGGAGGGCGTACGTGGTGTCACGGAATTAGGTAGGGAGTTCCTGGACCAAGGGGGAGAAAATGGAGTCCAGATAGGTGGAGATAAGTTCGGTGGGGCAGGAGCAGGCGGAGACAATGGGTCGACCAGGGCAGTCAGGTTTGTGGATTTTGGGAAGGAGATAGAAGGGTCTAGGCCCGAAACGTCAGCCTTACTGCTCCTCTGATGCTGCTTGGCCTGCTGTGTTTGTCCAGCTCTACACCTTGTTATCTCAGGGTTTAATTTCAGACTCTTTAATCAGAATTCCTACCCTTGGGGTCCCAATGCACTGTCATCACCCACCTTCCTCTTCCTGCTAGCTAGGTTAGAACTTTGGGGTCTCGGTAGTTTACGCTCATCACATGGTTTTGAAGTGTGCCTGGTTTCTGAAGTTCTTGCAGTTAGTTCTCTTGGTTTGGAACAGGCCTATGTCTGCAAGCTCTTGTTCAGATAGCACTGGTTGGCTTCCCCCTTTTCAGATGTCCTTTGTTCCGCTGAAGCTCTTGGTTCAGCTTCCCAATTCAGCTTCTCTGTTCAACCTCTTGATTCGGCTTCGCTTGGGTCTTGCTTTGGAAGCTGCTTGTTGGAGGTTGAAACCTGTAGGGAAGCTGTTCATGCAGAAGCTTGTTGTTGAAAAAGGCCGTCTTCCTCAGGTGATGTGGAGGTGCCGGTGTTGGACTGGGGTGGACAAAGTCAGAGGTCACACGACACCAGGTTATAGTCCAACAGTTTTAGTTAAAATCACAAGCTTTCGGAGCGTAGGCCCTTTATTAGGTGAAGTGACTTCACCTGATGAAAGGCCTGCGCTCCAAAAGCTTGTGATTTCAAATAAAACTGTTGGACTTTAACCTGGTGTCGTATGACGTCTGACTTTCTCCTCAGGTGAGATCAGGGCTGGCAGTTCTACTGACAGTGTCCCTCCTTATTTCCCCTCAAATCTGTAGATTTCTGTAATCTCTTGATGTTCTCTTCAGAAGTTAATTGGCTTTCCGATGATTAGAGTATGTGTGAATTGGTTTTGATCAAATTTGAATGTCCACTATCTCTACAGGCCCCATCTGTGTGCGCTGTGTAACCTGAGCTTCTGGGTCTAAATAAAAACCGAAAGAACTGAGGATGCTGTAAATCAGAAAGAAAAACAGAAAGTGCTGAAAGAGCTCAGCAGGTCTGGCAGTATTTGTGGAGAGAAATCAGAATTAATGTTTCAGGTCCGGTGATTCTTCCTCAGAATGGCGTGGGGTCTGTTGGTTTTGGTTGATTGTTCTTTTGGAGAGAAGGTGTAAATTGGGAATCCAGGCTGAACAATAGTCCCAGACAGCAATCTCCATTCTCAGGCCTGCTGGTTGTGTATTTCTTGCAGACTCATTCCAACTTTCATTTACCTTTTAAAAGTTTTGAAAAATCCAGTATTTTAGATATTGGGGATTTTAGCTCGATCCTACATTGGTGCCACTATTTAGCTGAGACTTTAAACCAGGATTCTGTCTGTTTCCTCAGATGGTATTAAAGGGTCCCTTTATGAGGTGTTCTTTTTCTGTCTTAGTTAATTATAGGTCTCAACCAAAAATACTATAAACATTATCTGATCACTTATCGCATTACTATTTGTGGGACCTTGCAGTAGTCAGATTAATTGCCATGTTGTCCACGTAACAGTGACTTCACTTCAAAAATACAACTTGTTGTTTTCTGATAAACTTATTCTTTTTCTTTCAGGGACATTCAGCTGAAATCATTTCTTTATCATTTAATACAACAGGGGACAAGATTATCACAGGCTCCTTTGACCATACTGTTTCTGTTTGGGATGTGGGATCTGGCAGGTGTGTAAACTGCTTAATCAGATACATCAGTTTGCACTTTTAATATTGTATGTTTTGAACATCTTTACAGCATTTAAATAAAAAATCCTTATTTCTAAAGTAACCTATAGTGTCTTACATCTTTGCACAAATTATGGAAAACATAATTTCAACATAAACCCTTGGGTCATAACAGCACCCACATACCACCAATTATCTCTCCATTTCTTACTTACTGACCTTTCAATCCCCTTGTATTCCTTTTTATCCCAATATTTCCATTGCTTTAATATTGTGTGTCTTTTATTATGTTCCATTCATCTTCTGAAAACAAAGAGACACAAATGTCATCCATTGTATTTCTTTGTACACAAAAGAAAATTAGTTAAATACAACAAATATTTTAAAAGTGAATTCCTTTTATAAATCTATACTGATTGTCCCTGTTTAGCCCATGCCCTTCTAAGTGTTTGCTAATTACTTCATGTATTATAGCCCAGAATGTATCCACAAGTGAGGTAAAATTAATTGGCCTATAATTTACTTGTTTATTCCTTTTGCTACTTTTTCTAATCTAGAACAGGAGTTTAACACTTGTTCATGTTGAATCAATAGTTAGAGAATATTAACTGGCTGTTTTTAATTCTCTGATCCGTTAGGAGAATGCACACTCTGATTGGACATCGAGGAGAGATCAGCAGTGCACAGTTTAATTGGGACTGTTCGCTCATTGCTACTGGATCAATGGACAAAACCTGCACAGTAAGACACTCACTAAATTATCTTGCCATACTGTATAAATGCTCGCAGCTTTATTAAGAAAATTGCACTGGTTTCAGATTGTGGTTCTGAATTTCATTTATAATTTTAAAAATTGTCTCAACTTTAGAATTAAAATAACAAACTTGAAGATAAATTTGCACGGCTATCTGATTTTGCCAATTGTGAATAGGTTAGTGCTACCAATATGCAGGTCTTGACTCCTGGCTACTTTCCGTTATTGTTGAACAAGAAGTGATGAAAACAACTGTGTGGTGTGTTTCATTTTTTTAATGGGTTGAGGGATCATGATTTGTTTTGAGCCTGTGCTGAGCAGAAAAATCATTGTTTACTGAGGTATTGGGAGGGCTTTTCATGCTGTTTCTACTTGATACATAAATTGCACTGACTGGAAATTGCATAATTTTAATTTGGAAATGTCCTCTGGAAATAAAATGTCAAATTAAACATGTAGATTGATGACATCAACTGCAACTTGCCACCACTTGGCTTGTCCTCTCCATTGTCTATAATTACCATGCTGCATTCCCTACACCAATTGTTGGAAACCAGGCATTTCTCTTATTAAATATTGGGAAGCCTAAAGCTATATTCTTCAGTCCTCAGCATCATCTCAGCTTCTTTAGCCACTGATTTAATAATTGCTCCTGTCTACTTTTTGAGGTTGGAACTGACAATTCGTAACCTCAACATTCTATTTGACACCATGCTGAACTGTGGACTCCATTAGCAAGACTTACTTTGCAGTATTGCTCCTGCTTCCGCTCATTTTCTGCTCAAACCAGTGTTCAGGCCTTGTTTAAGTCCAGCCTTGACGGTTCTTGCGTTTTCCTGGCTAGTCTCCCACCTCTGTGAACTTGAGGTCATCTCCATTTTTGTTGCCAATACCAAGGTCTCACACTAAATCCCATTCATTCGTCATTCATCGTACCTGTGCTTGCTGATATACATGGTTTCCATGCCAGCATTGTGTCATCTTTAAAATTCTTGTCTTTACATTTAAATTTCTCAGTGGCCTTGATTCTCCCTGCCTTTGTAATCTCTTCCAGTCCTACAAACTTCTGACTATTCCTGCAAATGTTGCATATCCTCAATTTTTATCTTTTCCCCATTAGTCACTGTTACTTCAGTTAAGCTCAGGAATTCCCTTCCTAAATCTCTCCACTTCTTTATCTCTCTCTATTCCTTTGAGTTGTTCCTTAGAATCTATCTCTTTGACCAGTCTTTAAGTCATTTTTCAGCTATCCAGTTTTGTGCCTCTCTGTTACAATTTAATCTGATATTTATCGTATGATGGGCTTTGGGAGGGTATTACTGCATTAAAGCTGCTTTATAAAAACAAGTTTCTGTTGTTAAAAGTATTTCCTATCATTTAATTTCTGCCATTTTATTTGTTTCATGATTTCTCTTAAACCATAACTACATTACACAGGCTAAGTCTGGCAGTTATTAACATAGCGTTTCCCTACCAATTTGCTGTATCATATTGTGACCAAGAATAGGTTCATGTCTGCAGTTTCTCCTGTGGTGAACCCCTGGCTTTGATCAGAGTGTTGTTCATGGGATTAGCGAGAATATACAAGAGGCTTTCACGCAGACTCTTATACATCTACCAGCAGTTTTGCTGGAACTCCGAGAGTAGGATGCTAGTTTTCTGAGAGAATGGTGTGTATCAAATCAAAACTGGAACAGAGGATAAGAACATTGTAAATTCTGAACCCTGCAACTTAATGTTGCCCTGGTCCTATTTTTTTTTTGCATTATCATAAAGTGATTTTTGATGCTAGTCAGGGAAAGAAGAAATTGCCCCATACATCATAGTATAGGACAGTTAGAGGTAGAAATTGGATCTTGATATATTGCTTTGCAAGAGTAAAGTGATTGCCATGAGTCCTAATTTAGGCATCCAGTTGCCTACATTCCAATTCACCTTAAATATTACTGATCTGAAATTTGAGTGGACCATTTGTCAAGTGGTAAGGGTGGCTATTGAACAGGCATTAGAACCTTGAATGTGTATTGAAGGGTCTTTTCCTGAAATGAACTGACCTGAACAGAACAGGTGATGGCCCTGCTCCACTCGTGTTTCTTGCCATGGATAATTTATAGTTAATGATAACCCACTGCACCCTACCTTCTGCAATTTCAGTTCCAGGCCTTTTTATGCACCTCCTGGTGCAATGGCAAACCTTTGAGCAGATTAACCATTTCCTCCGTTAGTTGAAGTGCAGAGCAAGATATTTCGTATTTCTTTCGTTAAAAAAGCCTTCAACAATTAATTAATTTGGTTCACAAATATTGATTATTTTCTAGCTTTGGGATGCTGTCAGTGGAAAATGTGTGGCAACATTGTCTGGACATGAAGACGAAGTACTGGATGTTTGCTTTGATTACACAGGGCAACTTATAGCAACTGCATCAGCCGATGGTAGGTACACTAATAGTTGGGTTCATGAAAAGGAATAGTATGTTAATTATACTTATTTTATGTGTCGGTGCATCATGCCCCTCTTTCAGTGAAATGTTGTCACTTACACTGTGTAAGAAATCTTATAAGGTAGAATGCAAAACACAGCGTGATACATTTGATATAAGACCATAGTGCAAAGGCCCATCCTACTTTTCTGAGGAAAGGCTGCACTGTGGGCTTCAGAAACAAAACAACAGCAGTTGCTGGAAAAACTCAGCAGGTCTGGCAGCATCTGTGAAGAGTTTTGGGTCTGGTGACCCTTCTTCAGAATGTTTCCTGAGTTCTGAGGACGGGTCAGTGGACCTGAAAAGTTAACTCTGATTTCTCTTCACAGATGCTGCCAGACCAGCTGAGCTTTTGCAACAATTTCTGTTATTGTTTCTGATTTACAGCATCCACAGTTCTTTTAGTTTCAGCTTGCATGCCCACTTGGAGCCCTCTATTGACTTAGGTACACTCAATTACATCCCCTCTGTTCTCTTGAGAACAGAGTTGACACTAACTCTACAACGTAACCAACATGCGATGTCAGGATTCCAATTTTAGGTAAAGCCATCTGGTGATGCCTACATGTCCATTCTTGAGAAAAGAAGCATGAAAGAGTAAGTAAGCCAGCAGCAGAGTTATATAAAGGGCCAGGAACCTTGATTGGAAAAATATTCTAAAAATTTAGTTTCATTGCAAAGTGTCTGAAAGTACTCTGCAGTGTTTTTAGGGGTGCTTGGATGTATTTTTTGTGGAATATTGCTGCATCCTCAGTAATGGCAGAAGATTAGGTGATCTGTCCATGTAAAGGTATAGGAGCAGCTGTGTCAATGCTTTTGAACCTGCACCATGACAGAGAGTCCATGGAACAGAAATTTGGATGAGGGTATACTCCATGATATGCCCTTGGCTAGATCAGCAGTCCACTAATCTTTGGAAGCAATTACAAGTTTATTATTGGTTTCTGATGTCATCCCTATCTGGCATCTAAAAGCCAGGGAACAGCTAATACTTTGACTTATTCCCTGGTAAATAATGGCTTTTGAATTTTATCATAATCTAATGTGCAATTAATTATAAGAAAATTTCTTGCTTTCATTACACATATTAAAGCTAAATATGTCCACTATTTGAAGGTACTGCAAGAGTTTACAGTGCAGCAAGTCGCAAATGTATGGTGAAGCTAGAAGGCCATGAAGGAGAAATCTCCAAGGTATGTTTAAGAAAACTTCCTGAAGAATTATTCCCTAAAAGATAAGATTTATAGGTGTAATTTGTATAGTGCCCAAAACTGGCAGAGCAATTGCTTCAAAGACTGGCAAATTTGCCTTCAGGCTTCATGTTGCTCATGAGTACAAATGGTGCGTCACTCAAATTTATCCAATGGAAATATGGACAAGTGTGTACACAGAGCTAGCCAGTCAGTCTAGTCTTGGGATGGGCTCCGATGCAACAATAGACCAGAAGTTTTTTTTTTACTGGGCCACAGAAGTGCATTCCTGTTTCTCCTAATTGTTGAGCTGCCTTCACTGGTTTCTTCGAGGATGGAAGGTTGGGCCACTCAACTTCATGTAATGAAGCAGGCAGGCAGGCAGGCATGGGGGTGCAGGGAGAAATAAATCTGCTGCAGAATAAAAGAAGGCCTGATAGGAAGTTGCTAAAGAGGTCAGCAGCAGGGGGATGCTGCCATGTTCTGGATAAAGTGCTGAAAGAGGTTTAATGACCTGAATGGAGCAGAAATGATGAGTGGCAACATTCAAGTATGACCTGATCTGAATGTTCTCACAATTCCTTTTGTTCTGCTTTCAAGCCTACTCTGGCACATCACTCTTTGTATTAACCTATTTTGCATGTAAATTCTTTCTCCCTGCTAAGACACTTCCTTCCATCTACATTTGACTATGCACCACTGCTACCAATCATCATTTTAATGTAGTAGTACATATGTCCCTCATAGCAATCCTCCACAAACATTGTCTATCCACCTTCCCAAAAATTTCATATGCTTCTAGGTCTCTTCTTCCTTGCAGTAGAAGAGAGCAAAGAACACCAAGGAAAAGCAGACAAGTGGAAATGGCTCTCCAGTCATCTCCATAATGACAACTGTGGATGAACAGGTGCTGAAGACAAACCAAGACTTGGAATGACTAACCACTGGAAATGGGATCTCCCATTTAACCAGTGATAAAATTAAATAACAACCACATGGCATGCAACACTTACTCAATGTGACTTTATATCAGAAACCATTGAAGTGTAACGTGTACAATTATGAATTATCACCCTCTTACCTCTTACAATACAGTCTTAGTCTTTATTTTCCATGGCTCTTCAGTGTCCCAACAAGGTGGTACCCAAAGAGGGTGAAGACTCCTCAGACATAGTCACTTAGACTGAGAATGTACTGGATTGAAACTCATGTACATTGCTCACCAGCTCATACGCACATCTCAGTGGAACTGCAAGCTCGTTAGCAATATTCCCTTTAAGCATGTAGCCAATCCAGCCATTCCCATGAAGGCCAAGAACAAGTCAGTGCTTTTAAGTTACCACATGTACACAGTCAGGCAAAGTATTATTAGGACCTTAGCCTTATAGGCAGCATACAATAAAAAAAGCGAATGTTGATTGCTGGGAACTCACAGGATATCTCACATATCACAAGTGAGCAGGAGCAGGTGGTAAAAATAAGGTTAATGGAAGGTTCTGTTCTGCTTAAGTTCTGTTCTGTAGATACAAAGGCTAAACCTTGGCACTGTTGATGAAGAGGACATCTCTAGAGCAACATTGAGACACCGGTGAGATTTTGTCAAAATGTCTAGCTGTAGTATGCAAGATTGGAGACATATTGGAAGAGTCTGTCTTTACCATGAACGCCGTGGTGCTTTAGTACTTTGAGCTGATATCTACATGCATGGAAAGATTGATTGCTTTCATGGAGGATCAATTTAACATTCAGCCAAGTGTGTGCTGGTCAGTGGGCTCCACATTTAACTTGTCACATTAATCAGGATTGATGAAGACTTAAACTTGGCTGTTCAACACATCACTGATGTTCAACAAAATGCTCACCAGTTCATTGTTAGAGGAAAGGTGTAGGAGGTCTACTGCCTCCTACACTGATGACCATGGCTGACCCTGCATAGATCCAGGGGTGGAGTTAGTTGGAAATCATTGGCAAGGCTCTTTTGGACTCCAAAGCTGAGAGGACATCAACCACGAGCATTGATCAGTCACAGCAAGGATATGAGCAGCCTGGCTGTACCTCTGTTGAAGTCACAGGTATTACACCACATAGGATAGTTAAGAAAGGAATATTAAGGATTGTAGTTGCACAGATATATTTACATTAGTTTTTAATACAGTGATAACCTGTTAATTTTCTGCTCATTTTTGTGTACAATAAAATGTATTAGATTGGTTCTCTTCCCCTATTGCCCATTTTCTCACACTGATTGGAACAAGCTCTTCTGCCTTGTGAAGTATGATAAGAAAGAGTTAAAGTTGAGCAATGGATAATTATGAACAGAATTAATTGTTAATTGTGGGACAGCTTTGTACAAGAGATGGGAGGAGGCTAAATGGGTTAACATTTTGGCTCCCTGATGATTGCCTGCCTCTGTTTAACTGAATTATTCCTGAATCAAGCTGACCTGGACATCTTAGCTAGCTATGTATGCAATTGATAAGGTTTTTGCCATATTACCCAGCTCCTTCTCCTGCTTCTTATGCAGCACCTCCTCTTTTTCTGAAGAGACAGTGTGCTCAGCAACTTTCCATCCCCAGAGATCCAGTGCTTAATGCTGTGCTGTGCAAGCCATAGCAGACTATCATTTTTGATGTCAGATTAGTTCATAATGAAAGTCACTGCCAGATCTGATGAGGCACCTAAAACACATCTTCAACATACCTATTGTTTGATCTATCACTGTCCTAGTGGTCAGATGTCTTTCTCTAGGGCATCACTGTCTGGCGTCCTGGTGGGTATCATCCACCAGATCATCCGAGGGTAGCTGCGTCAGCTCTCTTGGCATCTTGCACACATATGCATGTTTTATTTTGAGGTTGTGGATGAACTGAACATTGATGGAGTGGAATCCTCAGCAGGTGAAGGTGGCTGAAGTGCTTGGATTGCAACAGTTCCCTAAAGCTAGTCAGTATGGCAAACGCAAGCGCCCACTTATTCTGACTGGAAAGAACAGTTGAAAATTTAGTATAGGCCCTGTCAAACTTTGGTCATCGCCATATTATGAGACTCTGAGAATATAATGTGCAGATTTCTGTGAGGAGACAGAGGTGAAAAAAAAGTGAAATGCTGTGGTGACTTTGACAGGCTGTAGTAATGCATGACATTCTGATCCACTTAGCAGGAGATCATGTTCCAGGAGACTGCAAGTGTCTATGATCACCTGACAGAAAATCCCGAGTCTTTTAAGGTACTGCTGCTCAGCCAGTTATTGGGTTGCTGCTGGCTTCTCAATCTCCCCACAATAAATGAATACTTTTAACCACTCACAATCCGCTCACCTTTCACATTAAAATTGCTCCCATTGTTTCATTTACAATATCATACTAAGGGAAACAAGATTATTTACTATTCAGCTGGAATTAATTAACGGTGACAAAAAAACCTCATGGAGTAAGTGGGATAACAATGAAAACAATGCTTATAGGTGTTGTGTAGTCTGATTATCATTTAGGACTTTTTTCGTTACTGCAGCCACGTGTGTATCAGTGTCACAAGTTCATGGCACAAGTGAAGACATTGTGACCAAAGGATGTAGGATTTCAGTTAACGTCATTATCCTCAGGATAACAGTTTCCCATATGCTGTTTGTTAAATATTTCTGCACAATTGCCTTGAAGCTTTAGAGCTGTTTAACCTTGAAATATTTGAAGTAGCTCTTAATCAAATGTAAACCTTCATTCCAACACCGACAAAAGAGGATGAATGCCAGAACTGAGTAATGTTGACGTTTAAACTTTTTTATTTGTCTAAAAATCCCAGTGGAGTTTTATTTTCAATTTATTACAATTCTTTGAGGAGGTAACAAGCAGTATAGATAAAGGGAAACCAGTATATGTAATATATTTTGATTTCTAAATAGTGTTTGACAAGGTAGCGCACACAGATTATTATATGAATGGTGATAGTTTGGGAAAGGAGGAGGTGCAACACAACCTGGGTGTCCTTGTACACCTGTCACAGGTGCAGCAGTTTGTGAAGGAGGCAACTGGTATGTTTGTGTAAAGGAGCTGCAATAGTACAGGGCATTGGTGAAACCACATGTGGAGTGTTTTCTGCAGTTTCGGCCTCTTTATCTGAGGAAGGATGTTCTGGCTATGGAGGGAGCACAAGAAAAGGTTTACCAGACTGGTTCTTGGAGAGGCAGAATTGACCTGTGAAGAAGGATTTGTTTGGTTAGGACTATATTCACTGGAGTTTAGAAGAATGAAGGGGAATCTCATAAGATTTTAACAGGGCTAGACAGGTTAAATGTAAAGATATTCCCAATGATCGGGGAGACCAGAACCAGTGGCCGCAGTTTAAGGATATGGGATTGGCCATCTAGCAATGAGATGAGGAGAAGATTCTTCACCCAGAAAATTACGAATCTGCAGAATTTTCTGTCATAAAAAGTTGTTGAGGCCAAAACATTGGATGTTTTCAAGGAGTTAGATATGGTCCTTCAGGCTAAAGTGACCAAAGAGTATGGGGAGAAAGTGGGAACAGAGAAGGTACTGAGTTGGATGATCAGCTATGATTACATTGAATGGCATACTTGGCCTGAAGGGCCAAATGGGCTGCTTCTATTTTCTATGAGACTTCCTAACAAAATAAGAGTTCATGGAGTTGGGGGTAATACATTAGCATGGATAAAGTTGGGATAAAGTGTCATTTTCACTCAGGGTAGTGAATCTGTGGAATTCTTTACCACAGAGGGCTGTAAAGGCTGGATTGTTTGTATACTCAAAGCAAAGAGAGACAGATTTTTAATCAGTAAGGGAATCAAAGATTATGGGGATGAGCAGCATTCTCTCTAATTTTCTTTCCAGCTGTATGACAGTGACTTCCAGAACCGGAAGTCAGTGTCATGATTGGTGTAGAATCTTGAAGTGAGCCAATGCACAGTTTAGAGGAAACATTGTGAGTAAGTCAGGAAACATGTGGCATATACAGCAACACATTGCTTGGAACAAAACAGCTCCAAGAAACCCACTTTGTGCCCTCACCAACTGATCAAAGCAGGCATGATTAAAAAAAAATGTTTTGAGTTGACAACATTTGTATTTCAACTGTAAAAGTACAATTGTTACTCTAGAGTCTTTTAGACAATTTGAGTAGTTGCAGTCATATGAATGCAATATTGTTCTAACATTACAGTGCTTTTGTCAGATTTGTTTTAATCCTCAGGGCAGTCGCATTCTTACAGGCAGTTCTGATAAGACATCCAGGCTTTGGGATCCTCGCACAGGCCAGTGTCTTCAGGTGTTAGAAGGTCATACTGATGAAATTTTCTCATGTGCTTTTAACTATGAAGGAAATGCCATCATCACAGGTATTGTATAAAATGATAATTGAATAATATTAATGTTAATTTTTTTTGCCATCATGATGATAAAAGCAAATTTAATAGTAACTTTCAAAAGGAAAGTGAATAGATGCTTGGAAAGAAAACCTTACAAGGCTATGGGATCAGATCAGGAAAGTGGGAGTAATTTGATTGCTGTTTCAGAGTTGGCCCAGGCACAATGGATTGAATGGCCTCTTTATGTGCTGCATGAGTCCAGGATTGTCTTTTTTTTCTGCTCTTCCCTATGTGCCTGGAAAGCACAAAAAGATTCTTTCCTAATTAATAGTACAGGAAAGTTTGATCTATACATCTTTATTGATCCACTAATACTTCCTACATTTCAATAGTGACTACATGTCAAAAGTACTTCATTAGCTTTGAGACATCTAGTTGTCAGGAAAGGTGCTGTATAAATGCAGGTCTTTTGTTTTCTATTCTAACGACTTCATCAATGGTGGAAAGATTAGTCCTTACGATGAGCCACTTGAGACAAGCAAACAATTCTATCCTGTATTAGATTACATGCTTCAAATTGCTACCTAATATGCATGAAATACAATATTTAAAATATATATCTCATTTGGTGTAAATTTAGTTTTTATTGTTTTTGATCCAAGGATCACCAGCATGGCCCTGGTCTGTGAGCTGAATAGACCAGTCTTTTCATTGTGTTTACTGACAATATTCAACTTGTATATAAGGCTAATTAATGCAAGTTCAAAAATAAATCATTTGTAGAAGAATACATTTGATTTCCACTATTAATTCTTAAATGTTTTTAAAATCGTTTGGCTTACTTGCTGTAGGAAAGATGATTTTTTCCTTTTTGTTGTTATAATGCAGGAAGCAAAGATAACACTTGCAGGATATGGCGGTGAACGAAGATAGAGTTACAAAAAATAACTTTATAAATTCACACTGATAAACATCGAAGAATGCTGTTATGTTGTTGTATAAGTAGAGTCTATATTATTTCAGACATTCATCGTCTCAAAGGACTTCTATAAAGAAATCTAAGCAACATGTTCAGTTTCTTTGTTATGTAAAATGTTATTGCAAAGTAGTACCAAACAAGATACATCAGCTCAGCAGAGAATCATCTTTGATAAAAGTATGAGTTGCACTTCTGACTGCAACAAAGCTCTCAAGCCACAGCAATTTTTTTCCCCTTTTTAACAAGGTTTGTTAGAATTTTAAGCTTTAATGTGGTTAATACATGTTTTAACGGTTCTGAAGTTTGCAAACATTAAAAAAACTAAATTTGATCGTGTTTGATCATTATGAGTTGTTGCAAATAAATTCAATGCTTTTATAAAGTACCACAATTACTCTGAAATATTCTGCCTTAGGAGCTAACCATCTAAACCTCCTTCAATTTGTTTACAAAATAAAAGTGTAACTAAGAGTTCTTCATTTAGATGTCGTGCTGTCTTCTTTAATCCTATCTACAATGGTATCCAAAACTAATTAGAGATCGGTTATGACTGATGTTCAATGTTTATGAATGCATACTCTGGCAGGGAATCTTGCTTACCAGCTGTTAAAGTAACAAATCACAGGCTTTTCCTCATGACTTTCCAAGTTTTAAAATTAAGGAGTGAAAAATCACAAGGAACTTATTTGCAGCTTCCCTTCATGTGTAGTCACCAACTGAGGGCCAAATTTTAGAGTGTGCATTTGTTCTGCATTGTAAAAGTAGGCTCAGGTTGAAGATGAATTTTATTGGTCCTTCCCACATTCATAATAATGTTGACAACAACAAACTTTGATATTTTTATTACTGCACGTTAAATTTTTAGTAATTAGAAATGCACATAGTTTATTTTCATGTCTGCTTCATAAAATGGAAAAATTAATCACAGTTGTACAGGGAGGCAGACTTGGAGCTACACTATCTTTGGCAATTGCAAAGGAACTCTTGCTACACTTTAATGTTTGTAATATTTTTCTACATCACAATCAATTGTTACAATAATAAATAACCACTTTTTGTGCCTACCTCTATTGGAATTTGGCTGACCTGGGTCAGTAAGCAAAAGATTGATTTAAACCTTTTCCTTAACATCAGTGACTTCTATTTTTCAGGTTAGGTGTTCTTCTGTGTCACATCTCTAATTCAATTAATTGTTTGAAACACTGTTAAGAAACAGCCACAGCTCAGTTGGTAGCTAGCCCTCTTGCTTCTGAGTCAAAATGTTCTGGATTGAAGTCCCGTTCCAAAAACGTGAGCCCAAAAATCTAGTTTGGCAGTCTAATGCAGTATTGAGGGAGTGCTATGTTGTCAAAGATGCCATTTTTTGGATACAACATTAATCTGAGGCCTTGTCTTACCTCTCGGGTAGACGTAAAAGGCCCCATGACACTATTGCAAAGAAAAGCAGGAGAGTGATCTGGGTATTCTGATGAATATTTATCACTCAGTCAACATCCTCTTCAATAAAATTATCTGGGCATTATGTTACTGGTTGTAAGAACATAAGAACTAGGAGCAGGAATAGGCCATCTGCCCCCTTGAGCCTGCCCCGCCATTCAATAAGATCATGGCTGATCTTTTTGAGACTCAGCTCCACTTACCCGCCCGCACACCATAACCCTTAATTCCTTTACTGTTCCTTTACTTAAACACATTCAGCGAGGTAGCTTCAACTGCTTCACTGGGCAGGGAATTCCACAGATTTACAACCCTTTGGGTGAAGAAGTTCCTTCTGACCTCAGTCCTACATCTGCTTCCCTTTATTTTGAAGCAATGCCCCCTAGTCCTAGTTTCACCTGCTAGTGGAAACAACCTCCCTGCCTCCACCTTATCTATTCCCTTCATAATCTTATATGTTTCTATAAGATCTCCCCTCATTCTTCTGAATTCCAATGAATATAATCCCAGCCTACTCAGTTTCTCCTCATAATCCAACCCTCTCAACTCTGGAATCAACCGAGTGAATCTCCTCTGCATCCCCTCCAGTGCTAGTATATCCTTTCTCAAGTAAGGAGACTAAAACTGCACACAGTACTCCAGGTGTGGCCTCACCAGGACCCTATACAGCTGCAGCATAGCCTCCCTGTTTTTAAACTCCATCCCTCTGACGGACAAAATTCCATTTGCCTTTTTAATTACCTGCTGCATCTGCAATCCTACTTTTAGTGATTCATGCACAAGGACACCCAAGTCCCTTTGCACAGCAGCATGCTGCAATTTTTTACCATTTAAAACATGGTCCATTTTGCTGTTATTTCTACCAAAATGGATGACCTCACACTTATCAACATTGTACACCATCTGCCAGACCTTCGCCCACTCACTTAGACTATCTATATCCCTCTGTAGACTTTCAGTGTCTTCTTCACACTTTGCTCTACCATTCACCTTAGTGTCATCTGCAAATTTTGACACACCACACCTAGTCCCCAGTTCCAAATCATCTATATAAATTGTAAACAATTGTGGTCCCAACACTGATCCCTGAGGCACACCACTAGCCAATGACAGCCAACCAGAAAAACACCCATTTACCCCTACTCTTTGCTTTCTACTAGTCAACCAATCCTCTATCCATGCCAATACATTACCTGTAATACCGTGCAACTTTATCTTATGTAGCAGCCTTTGGTGTGGCACCTTGTCAAATGCCTTCTGGAAATCCAGATACACTACATCCACAGGTTCCCCATTGTCCACCATGCAAGTAATGTCCTCAAAGAATTCCACCAAATTAGTTAAACATGACCTACCTTCATGAACCCATGCTGGGTGTTCCCATGGGAGAATTTATATCCAGATGTCTTGCTATTTCTTCCTTGATATATTCAAGCATTTTCCCCACTACCGAAGTTAAGCTAACTGGCCTATAGTTACCTGCTTTTTGTCTACTTCCTTTTTTAAACAGTGGCGTCACATTGGCTGTTTTCCAATCTGTGGGAACCACCCCAGAGTCCAGTGAATTTTGGTACATAATTACTAGTGCATTTGATTTTTCCCCAATCACCTCTTTTAATACCCTGGGATGCATTTCATCAGGGCCAGGAGACTTGTTACCTTTTGCCCCATTAGCTTGCCCAACATTGCCTCCTTAGTGATAATGATAGTTTCTAGGTCCTCACCTGCTATAACCTTCTTGCCATCAGTTTTTGGCATGTTATTTGTGTCTTCCACTGTGAAGACCGACACAAAATAACTGTTTAATGCCTCGGCTATTTCCTTATTCCTAGTTATTAAATTGGCCTTCTCATCCTCTAAAAGACCAATGTTTACCTTTGCCACTCTTGTTGGAGCTTGTTGTGCAGAAAAATTGGCTACATACTGCATTTATACTTTGCTAAACTGACTATACATCAAAAGAAGTTCCAAATTGCTTTGGGACATTGATGTTGTGAAAAGTGCTAGATAAATGTAGGTTTTGCTTACATACACTCACAAAGAAGAATACAAGCAGGATTAGAGCCGTTATGGGTGAAAGAGTCAACAGTAATCTACCCAAGTTTCCAGGGTCAAGAGAAGGCACACTGGCACAGTTTACCAATGGTTATTGTGCAACCGGGTTGGGATTTCCTGCCTTTGGTTTTACCTCAGTCATTGACTTGCTTCTTTAAAAGATTAGTAGAAGTTCGGCTTCATACATGTTGAATCAGAAACTCCTGAAAAATGGGTACAACCAGGTTGAAATATGACTGAATGTTAGTCTCAGAGATATAAATGCCCAGATAGCTGACAAACAGAATGAGTGTGCTGGTGTTAATAATTAGTAAATCATTGATGGGATACCTTCCCTCAGTGAAGTAAACAATAGGTCATGTGTTTTGAGTACAATATGGTGAAGATAAGTGGGAAGACAGGGGATTGGGAAGCCTTTAAAATCAGCAGAGGACTAAATTAAATAAAAAACAATAAGGGGGGAGAAAATGAAATATGAGGTTCTGAGGAAGGGTCACCCGACCCGAAACGTTAACTCTAATTTTTTCTACACAGCTGCTGCCAGACCTGCTGAGCTTTTCCAGTAACTTCTGTTTTTGTTCCTGATTTACGGCATCCTCAGTCCTTTCGGTTTTTATGAGGTTAAGCTAGCTAGTAATATAAAAGATCGCAAGAGTTTTTTTTACGTCTAACCAGAGGGTGCTCAGTTGTCACTTGTTTGCATTCTGGGTGTGGAATTCGCAGCCAGTGTGAGCTTGAAAGGTATCATGGAAGATCATCCCCGATGATAAGCAGGAGGAAGAACACCGAACCAGAGGGTGCTGCGTCATCATTCGTTTGCATTCTGGGAGTGGACTTTGTAATCAGTGAGTGTGAACGGTATCGTGGAAAAACCCGCTGGAGCATTATATTACTGTAGTGTTTCCATCCCTCCTTCTGCCTCTAACCAAAACAAAATAGAGAGGCAAGGTTCAGACAGAAAGGAAGGTCAGCAACGAGAGTTCCAGTGGGTACAGGAGTGTGAGCCTAAGCTGTTTCTGGAAACTTGTTTATGAGTAACAAGTAAGTTTTGAGAAATTGTTATCAGAGCAGAGATCATCAGAAGCTTCAACTTAGTATTAAAAGTATTTAACATTGTAAGGATTAATTAACTTAATAACTTAAAGGGGTGAGACATGGCAGAGAGCTCCCAATTATAGTCTGTTTCTCTTGCTTGATGTGGGAAGGCGGGTACATTTCCAGTGCCTGGGACCTGCATATGTGCAAGGAATGTCTCCAGCTGCAGCTCCTGGAAGCCCGAGTTTCAGAATTGGAGCGGCGTCTGGGGACACTGCGGAGCATTCGCAAGGTGGAGAGTGTTGTGGAGGGCACATTTAGAGAGGTGGTAACACCGCAGACTCAGACTCCACAGGCAGGAAGGGAGTGGCTGACCACCAGGCAGAGCAGGAGGGCTAAGCAGGCAGTGTAGGAATCTCCTGTGGCTATTCTCCTGCAAAACAGATATACCGTTTTGGACACTGTTGAGGGGAATGGCCTCTCAGGGGATAATAGCAGCAGCCAAATTCATGGCACGATGATTGGCTCTGCTGCAGAGGGAGGGAAAGACAGGCATAGAAATGCTACAGTTATAGGGGATTCAATTGTAATAGGAACATATAAGCGTTTCTGTGGCCACAAATGAGAGTCCAGGATGGTGTGTGGCCTCCCTGGCGCTAGGGTCCTGAATGTCTTGGAGCAGCTGCAGGACATTCTGGAGGGGAAAGGCGAACAGCCGGTGGTCGTGGTCCATGTTGGTACTAATGACGTAGGTTTAAAAAAGGCATGAAGTCGTAAAAGCAGAATATAGAGAACTAGGAAGAAAGTTGAAATGTAGGACCTCAAAGATAGTTATCTTAGGATTACTACC